CTAATGGGGGGGGGGGGACTGAGACCGGGAGAGGGATTTGGAATATTGAGGCTCCTTGCAGCACATGGTTCATTGGAAACCTTTTATACCCCCCATCCCCCCACCCAGGTCCCCGAATTAAGCCCAGAGCCACTGCGGGCGTCTTTGTGCTGCACCAGTTAACCACTCGTTGCCCATCATTCCAGGAGCAGGAGGTCGATTGCCGTCTTCTACAGAGGAGGTTCCTTCCAGCGAGGAGTTAAACCCCCTCCGTGTTGATGATATGCAGTCACTGGGGTATGCATGAAACATGACGCTACCAGAGCTGCCCAGGAGATGCCGCAATGTGATCTGTTGCCAACCGCCCCTCCCCCGCTCTGTTTCTTCCCCTTCCTTTTAGCAGCTGGGCAGGGGGGCTGCCATTGTCAGCCTGAGTTTTATTTCACCTGTTGTGCAAGGACGGACGGATAGAAGGGATCCAGCACCCTGTAAAGAGGACCTGTGAGTGTGGAGCGTGGACGCATCCCCTGCAGCCCTGGGGTGCGGCTTGTCCTTTGCTAATCCCAAGCCGACCTCCAGCTCAATCTCCAGAAATACACGCGTGTGGGAAGTGTTTTACCTGCCAATGGATTTGTATTTGTTTCCATCCAGTCCTGAGAATCGCACAGCTCCGCCACGCGGCCCAGAACAAGGGGACCTGATTTTCCTCCGCTGCAGTTAGGTAACACTTACGGGTCTTGCCCCCGCCCCCAGCCTGCGACCGGACAATGAAAGGAGAGGCAGCTGACCAATGAGCTAATCTCTCTGTCGCTCTGCTCTCTCCTGCTATCAGCATGCTCTATGCGCTGCAGCACAGTTAAAAGGCTCCTTGTGCTGCTCCTCCCTCCCCCAGTCTGAGCTCTGCTGTAGGGGGGGTTGTAAAACGCCTGATTCAGGTACTTGCCATTAAAGCACTTGTCATGATGTATCACTGATCGCAGAGACGTGTTCATTTGTATCTTTTATATCCACCTGGAGTTTAGCTGCTGAGCACACACGGTCCAATCAGAGATTCACAATCATTGGTGCATCAACTGTGACACTGGAGGCGGCTGGATGACCATCAGAAGAATGGAACACGTCCAGTGACAGCAGATTGTGCCGTCCGGGGCCCGTATTGTACCAACTAGGGCCCGGATTGTACCATCTGGGGCCCGGATTGTACCGTTTGGGGCCTGGATTGTACCATCTAGGGCCCGGATTGTACCACCTGGGGCCCGGATTGTACCACCTGGGGCCCGGATTGTACCACCTGGGGCCCGGATTGTACCATCTAGGGCTCGGATTGTACCATCTAGGGCCCGGATTGTACCCTCTGGGGCCCGGATTGTACCCTCTGGGGTCGGGATTGTACCACCTGGGGCATGGATTTACCGTTTGGGGCCCGAATTGTACCATCTAGGGCTCGGATTGTACCCTCTGGGGCCCAGGTTGTACCGTTCGGGGCCCGGATTGTACCATCTAGGGCCTGGATTGTACCATCTGGGGTCGGGATTGTACCACCTGGGGCCCGGATTGTACCGTTTGGGGCCCGGATTGTACCGTATGGGGCCCGGATTGTACCATCTAGGGCCCGGATTGTACCACCTGGGGCATGGATTTACCGTTTGGGGCCCAGATTGTACCATCTAGGGCCCGGATTGTACCCTCTGGGGCCCGGATTGTACCCTCTGGGGTCGGGATTGTACCACCTGGGGCATGGATTTACCGTTTGGGGAACGAATTGTACCATCTAGGGCCCGTATTGTACCCTCTGGGGCCCGGATTGTACCCTCTGGGGTCGGGATTGTACCACCTGGGGCATGGATTTACCGTTTGGGGCCCGGATTGTAACGT